ACAAAGGCATTTTGCATAATTTTTCTTCTCCATATACTCCACAACAAAATGGAGTTGTTGAACTCAGAAATGGCTCACTATACGAAGCAGCAAGAACCATGTTGGCATATGCGAATTTACCTCAATATCGTTGGGCTGAGGCAATATCCACTGCATGTTTTACTCAGAATAGATCTTTCATACACAGGCGTTTTAATATTACACCATCTGAAATTCTAAATAATCGTAAACCTAATATGAAATTCTTTCATGTTTTCGGATGTAGGTGCTTTATTATGAATCTCAAGGATCATCTTTCGAAATTTCAAGCAAAAGCTTATGAAGGGATTTTTCTTGGATATTCGCATAATTCTGTTGCTTATCTTATGTTAAATAAGCGAACACGAAAAGTGGAAGAAACTTTCAATCTCACATTTGATGATTACTACGTTAAACAAAATGAGCATACATTTGCAAATCATCCAATTTTACAAGAAACACAAGTTGAAAATGAATCTTTACAAATGAATGATATTGATTATGATTTGATTTTTTGGAATTTCAGATCATGCAGTCGATGCTGAAATGCATGCTCCTAATAATCACATACCAGAACTTGTGAAGTTTACTGATGAATAACCATCAACTCCTCAAGGAATAGACGAAAGTATGCAAAATGATCCAGTGGAGGGGGAGCATGTGGATTCAAATACTCTAGTCAAGGGGGAGCACTCAATTAAGGGGGAGAATGAGCAACTTGTTGTTGTTGTTGAGGGGGAACATGTTCAAAATGAGGAAGATTTTCAGGATCTTAATGATGTTTGTTCGATTGCCAGATCAGAAAATGATGAAATGTTCGAAGATGCACCTTTGGACTTTGATCCAGCATATCCTCCAATGGAAAATGGACTAAAAGTCATCCGAAGGAACAAATCATTGGAAATGCACAAGAAGGAGTGTTGACAAGAGCTCAGCTTTGTGCAAAGAATGAGGTATTGAATACTCATCAAGAATTTTGCATGTTTAATGTTTTAATCTCTACGATTGAACCAAAGAATGTTAAGGTTGCAATGGAACACTCTGATTGGGTTGTTGCAATGCAATCTAAGCTTTCGGAATTTGAAAGAAACAAGGTTTGGAGATTAATTCCTAAACCTGAAAATGTTTCAATTGTCGGAATAAAGTGGATTCTTAAAAATAAAACTGAAAAGATGGAAACATCATTCGAAACAAAGATAGACTTGTTGTTAAGGGATATTCTCAACAAGAAGGAATTAATTACGAAGAAAATTTTTCCCCTGTCGCAAGACTCGAGGCTGTTCGTATATTTTTGGCTTATAGAGCTCACAAAAACTTTGATGTTTATCAAATGGATGTGAAGTGTGCATTTCTTAATGGTGAACTTGAAGAAACAGTCTATGTGGAACAACTCCCTGGCTTTGTAAACGAAGAACATCCTCATCATGTTTATATACTAGATAAGGCAATTTATGGGTTAAAACAAGCTCCACGAGCCTGGTATGCAACTCTTACTTCATTTTTGAAGCAATCTAAATTTAAACAAGGATCAGTTGATCCCACATTATTTCGTAAGAAAATTGGGAATCATCTAATGCTTGTTCAAATTTATGTTGATGATATCATATTTGGTTCAACTGACCCTACTTTGTCTAAAGAATTCGAAGACTTGATGAAGAGCAAATTCGAAATGTGTATGATGGGTAAAAATAACAATTTTATTGGTTTAAACATTAGTCAGAATAGAGAAGGTAGTTTTATATATCAAGAAAAATATATGAAGAACTTACTGGAAAAGTTTGGGATGATGAATAGCACAAAGTTACGAGTACCAATGGCAACCGGCGTAAAACTAACTCCTTCGTTAGATAAACCATTTGTTGACCCAACTCTATACAAGAGCATGATTGGATCTTTAGTTTACTTAACAGCAAGTAGACCTGATATCATGTTTTCTATGTGTAACTATGCTAGGTATTAATCAAATCCTTGAGAACCACATCTCACTGTTGTGAAGACATCTTTCGTTACCTCAAAGGAACTGTTTCGTTAGGATTGTGGTATCCTTTGAATACTAGGTTCTTTATTCAAGCATATTCAGATACAGATTTGGGTGGTCGTACTTTGGATAGGAAAAGCACGACTGGAGGATTTTAGCTACTTGATGGTAAATTAGTGACTTGGCAATCAAAGAAGCAAACATGTGTATCCATCTCAACGGTTGAAGCTGAATATGTTGTTGTTGCAGGCTGCAATTCACAAATAATTTGGATTCAAAGTCAATTACGTGATTATGCAATTAATATGAAAAAGATTCCTTTATATTGTGATTCACAAAGTGCAATAAGAATTTGTCATAATCTTGTGCAGCATTCGAAGACCAAACTCATTGCTCTTCGTTATCACTTCATAAAAGATCATGTAGAGGATGAGAATATTGAAGTTCATTTTGTGAAAACAACTGATCAGTTGGCTGATATTTTCACAAAAGCATTGGATGAAAAATCATTTCTGAGGATTTTGGAAGGACTTGGAATGATTGATGGTAATTCAATTTCATACGAAAAAGGAGATTGAAGTTTCGATAATAATAATTCACAGATATGTCATCAACGGATAAAGTTAATGGTCATAAGTCACTCTTCGAATGCTTCTAATTCGTATGATTGGTATTTTTCATCACATCTTAAAACTTCGTAGGTTTACAACAAGTACTTTCGTTTATTTTGTTCTTGTTTTTTCTTTTCGAAAAATCAAAAATATCAAAAATATTTTCATTTTCTTTTTTTCTTCATTTTCGAAAAAAAAAAGATTTTCATTTTATTTTGTTCTTTATTTTTTAAAATTCAAAACAAAAAAAATTTTTATATATTTTTTTTCTTCTTCTAAGTACTTTGTTGCAGATCTTTTTGAACGAATGAAGAGGCACATGCTTGCAGATCTAAGGCCAGGTATATGAATCTTTTAACTCTTTACATTTTATTTACTTTGAACTAGTTAAGATGTCCCTAGAAGCATGATGTTGCATGTTGTCCAAAGCCTCTAATGACTCAATGTGTGTGTACGAAAGCCTTAATGAACTTTTCATACAAACTTTTTTTTCCCAATCGAGACTTAGACATATCATCAATCCGTGTTAATGATTTGACATCATGAGACCATGATGAAAGTGAAACCAAAATTTCTTGCAACTTAAGGAATTGACAGGGAACTATGTTCCAGATTTTAAGAAACTTTTGTTTCAGTACCTATTTTCAAAATTCCAAATCATATTCATTTCATATGAGTGATCTTGATAAAACATTCAAAACCCACGGTGTTTGTTACACAACAAGATCCAGGACAAAAAAATTTCATGAATATGATTTCCATGTGAGTTTACTTCGAATTCCAAAGTTACATTCAATATTTTTCAAAGCACACTTGTCACTGACTACACTGGTCAAACAAGTAATTTCTGTTACAGTTACTCACCTTATGTTAAGGCTGATATGTAACGAAATTTGTATGCCACCCATTGAAACCTTGAAAAAAGAAGCCCTTCGATACTTATTTACAAGTATTCGATTGTAATTCACGGAAAACTACACAAGTTGTTGATTATATCTCTTGATAACTAACGAAACGATCTTTGCCTGGGATTTTATTTGCCTTCGTGTCAAATTGTAGGTTTGACATCACTACATATCCAAAAAAAAATTACTTTGCTTCTTATCCTTAATATGCTAACACATTGCACACACGAAATCCTTGAGGTTCTGAGTAACACCAACTCAGGCTGATGATTTCGAAAATCTGGCAAATAACTTTACTTCGAAACCCCAAAGTAAAAGAGCCTAACCTCCATCCGAAGGGTTCTGATGGTTATAATTCCATTGGGTCAATAAATACAGGTTGGTTGAGGAGACGTTTTATATTACTTCTGGTTTTCAAGACAATGTGACAGTTACTTTTTGATGCATGGTTGCTTTATCATCATCATGATGCGCTTTTCTCGATGACATGTCAGCAAGCATTAAATGCATATCCCACTTTGATTTCATAATTAGGAGTTACATATAAAAGGGGATTCAAGGGTTCATTATCAGTTTACGCTTTCATCTTACTAAAGTTTCTCTGATAATCATCTGCATTCATACCCTAAAAATGGCGACTGCAATTCCTAATGCTACTCTTTCTCATACAACTGATGATGTTACTTCTCTGCCGATCATGAAGATTCAGGGCACTAATTACCAGGTTGAATCAAATGTTTCTCTGTATCCTGAAGAATTGAAAATGCTGGTGGTCGCTCTTCAAAACTCGGTATTATCAAAAGCCATGTTCAACTCATTTTCTGTTCCTCTTTCTTGGTTATCTCAACTACAACTTATTCAAAAGCTTTGGAAGTTGTTACATTAAACCTCATCAATGATAAAAAGGTTAGATTATCAAAGAAGCTTTTCTACCAAATCCTTGCCATACCTAATTCACCACCATATGATACTTTTACCTTTCCACAAATCGTACATATGTTCAATGAAATGGGTCATCAACCCCAATTGACAATGATAAGTGATTTCAATAAGTCAGGGCTACCAAGTGTATGGAATTTTCTGTTTGGAATTTTTCTTCGGTGTTTAACTGGTAGAACGGTTGGGCTAGATAAGGGAAGAATGGAGGCGTACGCCATGGTTACAGGGTTTTACTATGATCTTTAAGTCGATTACTCCACACAACTATGGAAGGAGTTCCAGAAGAGTATCGAAAACACAAATGTTGTTCATGGCATTTCGTGTGCTCGATATTGGAGTTTGATTATGCAATATTTCAATGAAAAGGAAGGAATTTTAGTTCTAGCAGAAGTAGAAAAAGTTGTGTCTCACACTTATGGGTGTCCGAAGGATGCTACAGATGACTCAGATGTATTCCCTTTTGCTACTCGTATCCCTGATGCTATGCTAAAAAGAGTTGATTCTAAAAATCTTGTAGTGATTACTTATTTGAAATCAGTAGATTCTTTTATGGAAAGAGGTGTTCTTTTGCCACAAACCAATGAGAAGAAGTCAAAGAAGTCGAAGAAAACTGATGTTGGGTCTTCGGGTAACGAGGTTTAGCCAACCAATTCTTCTAAAAGTCCGAAGCAGGTTCCTGTTATTGAAGCTGAGCCAATCCAACCGGAGCCTATAATTGTTGATACTCAGTTAACTGAAAAGGAAGTTATTCCTTCGAAGACTGGTGTATTTAGAAGAATCAAAATGAAATCGAAGTCCAAGCATAAAGGACGATCCTCTCTTACGAATATTGTTCGCAAACCTCAAGTTTCACATCAAGGGGTAATTTTTCGTGAAGTACCTGCTCCTGCTTCACCATCTTTGAAAAAGCAAATAGCTGCTGACATGGCAACACAAATCTCAAAGAAGAAGATGCATAGGGTGATTCTTTCCTCAGACTCTACTACAGATGAGGGTGATATTATTCCCGAGACACTTGAGGCAACTTTGATTAAAGATTCTTCTCAACTGGATACTTCTGTTAGTAGACCACCCGAAGCTTCAATTGCTAAAATAGTTACTCTGGAGGCACGAACTTCAGACATCCCTGTAAACATATCTGATATGGATACAAATGTCATCATGGGTGAGGACGATTCGAATAAAGCAGCAAGAGGTAAACCTTCAAGTGTTGTTTCCGATTCTTTCATTTCTTTACCTCCACAGATTACTCCCATTGTTCCTATAACATCCACAACCGATTCTTCAACCTTTGCAAACATTATATCACAACCTTTCACAACTATTTTTTCTTCACAATCAACTGATCCACCAACCACTACTTCTCTGATAAAAGATTCATTTATGGATATGGAAAATGAGTCTAAAGGTTTTGGAGGAACCACTGAGAATCTGGAGTTTGATGATGAGGAAACAAGCTTCCCAGATCATATGCTAATGGTGATGAAACAGTTCAAAATCTTGAATACGAAGCTCAATTTGATTATTCAATCTCAAGCTGATCTTGGGGGAGGTCATTATGTATCAAGTCTTGAAGTTGATGGCATGTTGTCCTTACATGAAGAAAGATTAACCACAAAAGTCTCTGGCATGTTGAAAGATTCAGAGTCTCGTTTGTTGGAGAAGATTGATCATTGTGATCAAAATAATGAATTACGAGTGAATTCTCAGAAGTCTGGATTTGCATCTGACTTGAAAGAATTGAAGACGGTTGCAAAAGAGAGGCATGTGTTATTTGTTTAGGATGTAAAGAAGGTGAGAGAAGATGTAAACTTCAAACATCAGGAACTACGCGAAGACATGGAGAAAGAAATATCGGTTGTTCGAACTGAGATTGATTCCATCAACAAAAAGGGGGATATTATTTGTGACGTAGTTATGAAATTTGGAAAGTTATATGAAAGTCTGAGCCCTGAGATTACTCAACTTTCAACTAACGATAACAAGAATTTTTTGGAGGTGTTCGAACTCTTGAAAGAACTTAAAAGTATATCTTCAAAGCCTACTTTGTCTTTTCCATCTTCAGAAGATCTGATCCAAAAAATTTCTAAATTTGAAGAATTACTTGTTCAACAGCAAGCCCCTTTGTCACACATCTCTAGTATTCTTCGAACTACTTATGCCCCACCTGCTAGCACAGGGGTGCAAGGGGGAGAAAAAATATATGCAGGTTCGAAGACTGGAGGAGAGGATTTGAAAGTAGTGGGGAAGGTATTTTCTTTGAAAATCCCAACAACAAAACCGATAATGGCAACAGCTGTTCAAATCACTTCGACACTTGTAACAACTGTGCCAATCACGAAACCGAAAGGAATTGTGATTGGTAAAACTAGAGACATTGGTGGAAGTGCTTCAAAGCCTAGAGATGATGTTGTTGAGTCTGGTTCAAAATCAAAAGGTAAAGAGATTCTTATAGAAAAATCCGAAGAGGAAAAGAAAGCAGAGGCAAAGGCTGAGGTTAAGAAAATGAGAATGATGCAAAGTATTATGACTCAAAGGGCCAGTGACCCTCCGGGCTTGAATAAGGGTGAACGTTCGAAGCATTACAATTACAAAACGATTGAAGCCAAGGTTGCATTCAATCACATGTATGCATTTGAGAAAAAGCCCAAGCAGAGTTACATTATCACAAATACAGATGCAGGCCAACTGGATTTTACTATAAATGAGATGATGTTTATCATGCCTCAACTTAAAGCTGAAAGCAAATTTAAGGAGAAGGATGAAGGAACACACATGAAGATCAGATTTCATGTTGTTCTCGCAAAGTCTGCTGAGGAGGTGTGGTCTTTGGAAAAGATCAAGAAAGTTATAAGTATAAAGAAGGATGTGATCTTCGAAGACACAGTCCAGAATTTGAAGTACGTAGTGGTAAGGGCGAATGAAAAAGTGTGTGAATTTATAGTTCCAGACTTTCCATTGATGAACTTGTATGATCTTATACAAGTTACATTAATTCTGAAGGAAAGGTCATTTTCTTATCTACAAAACACTGAGTCGGATGATTTTAAGCTGGGAGTTACTCACATCAAAATCTTCATTGAAAATTATTATGAATGTCTGGCAACAAAAGATGTGGAGTTAGCTACAGTGAAGGGTCTTGAAATCACTGCTCCAATGAATCCTTCGAAGACACAAGAAGAACTTAAGAAATATGCTGATGGGGAAATCTGTAACGCCCATGTTTCTGGGCTAAAAGCATTAATAAAGTTGTAATAGTCTAGTTCAACCTTTGTAACTCATTTTTAAGTAGTAAAGACGAATTATGTGAATATTATGTGAATTATATGCTTATTTGCTTAATTATTATGATTTAATTAATTAATAATAATAATAAGCATTTAACATAAATATTATAAAAAGCCGATATCTTTTAAGAAAGTTGTAGTGGCCGAAACAAGGATCCCGGAGATATAAAGAACGTCGAAATCTGATTTATAACGAAGAAGTTATGACCTGTCGAAGTTTCGCGACAAAACCGGCACGGCACCGGGAAGCGTAAAAAGTGAATATTACAATAAAGTGCTTTTTAGCCTTAAAAATCTAAACTAAAGTCGTAGTATTCGTTAAACCGAGAAGTTCGATAAAAAGAACGCCCAAATCTGACTTCGTATGAGGAAGTTATGATTTTTCTAAGTTTTAGCTTAGCAGTAGACAGCTAAATACTCGAATTTAAGATCAAGCGAAATTTAGCCGCCACAACCTAAACAAGAATTGAAGGTCTCGTCAATAGTAGTACAACGGTAAAAAGATTGATGAAAACGGACGTTGGATGAAGAAGTTATGAATTTTTAACGGATTATCCTGTCCCGGTCTGTTAAAAATAATAATATTTAAATGAATGTCAAAATTAGCCGACGAAGTCTAAACGAAAGTTGTAGAGCATGATTTTAGCTATGTGTGCATATAAAGAACGTCAAAAACGGAGCTCGTATGCGAAAGTTATGGATTTTAGAAGTTCGGGGCTCAAAAATCGGAAATTTTCGCATGAACAGTAACCGGACACGTCATCGAGGCCAAAGCTGCTGCGTCACCGAAGACGTGGCCGAATCCAGACCAGACGCGTGTTGCAATTCCTTAGGACCGAAGTCTCGGCCAATCAGAAGACACCTCGTGGCAGCCGCGTGTCCAAACCTTGCAGAGACACGTCAGAGCCTCGTTGCCGCCTCCGTGTCTCGCCTCGCTGCTGCCACGCGCCTCGTTCCCTCGCAGCCACCTCCTCCCTTCATCACCGAGCCTCGCAAGCAGCTACGTGGAAGCTTCTCAGCCTCAGAGACCTCGGCCTCGCACCCTATAAATAGGGGAGCTGCGAGATCTCCCAACTACTTTTGAAAACTTGACATTTTTCACCCCTAAACTTATATTTTCACTATTTTTACTTCCCTCGAAGCCCCGGTATCATTTTTAAAGCCCGGAATACGTCCCGAAGTGCCCGAAAACCTGGAAAATGTTATCTTTTCGGTTTTGAAGCTCCAAATCTTGCAAAGCCCGGTTTCTCAATAAAACTCTCGGTTTTATCAGAAACGATCATTTTAAGGAACGAATTGCTGCCCGATTATCATCAAATCAAGTGAGTGTATAGTCACTTTCATCTTACACATAAATATGAAGTATTTTCTATAAAATATGTGTTATGTGTAATTATATTGATTGTTTATTTGAGATGATTGTTGAATACAATGTTTTATACAAGTTATAAACTGTATATGTATTTTATCTACAAATATGTTGGGTAGAACATGGGTAGACAAAATAGTTGATGTGTGTTAAAATGATGAGAGGCCTCGATGTTGTTGTTGTTCCAGTCATCTAGCGGAGTATGGATGACGACCACAGACTCTTCTAGACAGTCTAGTGGAATGCTAGCAGGCTCGCAACCTGTAGGTGTTGTGAACGATGTGTTCACCGGTGTACTCCATCCCCCTCATGGTTGCCTTTAGAACATTTATTGTTGAGGAACCCCCTTAGCAGTAGTGTCCATCCCGATGATAAAATCCTTAGACTAGGTCCCTTGTATAGGTGTTTAGGGACGTAAAGTGAGGATAACAGGAATGGGTAATCAGGGTTATTGTTGGTTGATGAAATTAATAAATTTATTGTTGATCGATGAAATTAATAAATTTATTATTATTTGTCGGTTGAAAACCCTATATGCCATTAGTGGACTCAAAGCATAATTATGATGATGATGAGGGACTTTTGGATTATAGGCCATTAGTTGTAAATAACTATTGTAAGGCTTATAATGTACTGTTTATACTTATGTACTGTATCGAACATGACATCCCAAGTCTTTTAATGAAATACATTTCTAAGGAAATGCTTTTGATAAATCTTTATCATATTATTGTTTTGGGAAAAATTCTGCAATTCTTTTATTAAAAGGTTACTCTGATTTTGAAATAAAGTATAAACAAAACCGGTCTTTTCTGGCTGTGAAATTGGGGATGTCACAGTTGGTATCACAGCATTAGTTTAAGCGAAATAGGAATTTGCAGGATTTCTAGACTTAAACTCAGAATGCTAAGCGATGATTGTGAGGTGTGAGCACTAGTATATTTTAGGAATGATGCCTAAAATGTTTTTATGTGCTAAATGTTATGTGTTTGCTATACATGATATTATTGTTCGGATCTATGGTCTGTTGCCGACCGGATCTGGAAAACCTTATGTGTGTAGGATTCTTAGCGTATGATTACGATATTAGAACTAGCATGTAAACGTTTCGGAGTCTATAGTGAATAAAGATCTAAATTCACCTTATTCGGTGTATAGATCAAGATGGCAAAGACCCGTAGCAGAAACGTAAACGCAAATGAAGATAGGAACCAACCCCCAGTGGTACAGCAAATACCTGTTGTTGAAGAAGTTGCACCTGAGCCAGTCACCATGGTTGGAGTTCAAGCCGTAATTCAGGCTATGCTAGCTGAACAAAGGGAAGAAATGAGATGGATTCTCCACGAGAATAGGGATGAATCTACCATACATGTTGAACCGATGGAGCCAATTCCCAAGCAATCCGAGGAAGGGAACTACAACCGCCAAGTGAGTCAAATAGGGACTCAAGGTGAGAAAAGGGATGGCCCAGAAGGGAGAAACAACAAGGATGGGTGGATGTACAAAAATTTCTTGGGTGCGAAACCACCAAGTCTCTCAGGAAGCCCAAACCCTGTTGAGATCATGGACTGGATCTCCGAGATGGAAATGGTGTTTGAAAGTTGCGATTGTAGCGAGAAGCAGAAGACTATCTTCGCTGTGAGACAATTGAAAACTGGAGTCTTAAGCTGGTGGAAGCTATTGGCAGATACAATGCCGCGAGGAGAAGCTCTGAAAATGTCGTGGGATGAGTTCTTGGAACAACTGAAGGCGCAGTACTATTCAGAGATAGATCTGATTGATCTGAACAATGAGTTCCAAAATTTGGAAAAGGGGAAAATGAGCATCGATGACTATGTTGTTGCATTCACGGAAAAGATGAAGTTGTTTCCATACCTAGTGCCAACCGAACTTTCCAAAGTTGAGAAGTTTGCAAACGGATTGTCGGCTGACTTTGGCCCAACAGTCAAGATGGCAACCACTCTGAAATTAGCCATTCGAGCAGCTAAGAATGTGGAGACCCAACAAAAGGAAAGAGGTCTAGAAAGGGCTGAGGTTGGTGAGAAACGGAAGTTCGATGGATCCTCAAAATCCAACAAGAAGAGTAGATTCTCGAAGTCTGGTTCGAGAGGAGGAGGATCAGAAGCGAAGTGGTGTGACAAGTGTAAGAACAAGCACTCTGGGAAGTCTGACGGAGGGGTAACTTGTTTCAAATATGGAAAACCTGGGCACTATGCCAACGAATGCACATTCACTAAGAAGGTATGTTATGAGTGCAATGAGGAGGGGCACATTTCAAAGGATTGCCCAAAGAAGAAGGAGGCAGGAAGACCCAACATACCACCAAAGCCGAAGGCGAGAGCCTTCCAGATGACGCTTGAGGCTGCAAAGGAGGCAGCAGACGTCGCTTCAGGTACCTTTCTTGTAAATGGTTTGCCTGCAAACATACTATTTGATTTCGGAGCCAACCACTCCTTTGTGTCGCATAAATTTGGTGGGAAATTAG